GGCAAGCGGGTCACAGGAAGGTGCCTCGTATTGCTGCAGAGGAGACTCGCACTCCCGATACAGTCTCCTGTCACTCTGAGATAACCCTGGATATATAAAGTGCAGAGCATTCCAGCTTTGGGGAGAACAGGCAGAGCTGACTAAGGCAGAGAGGGGCTTCGGGAGGCAGCTACATGTAACGGGAGAGAAGGGAGGTGCAGGAAGCTCTTATAAACAGTGGCACTTGTGTGTGGGGAGCACCTACGGCACCGTCATCCTCAGAAGGAGATGGAGCCACAGACAATGTGTCACACGAGCAGCGAGAGGGAGAACGGCCCAAGGATTCCCCATGAGAGTGAAGGCACCCGGAGGAGGGACCTGCTTCCCAGGCCTCCCGCTGCGTCGGCAACACGGCGTTCTTGGGACGTCACAGAAGGAGGGACAAACACGTTCCTGGCAGCCCTTCCGCCAGGACGTGTCCCACACCTGCCCCACCAGCGCAACCCCACTCGGGCTCTATCCTGTGTTTTACCTCAGGACATTTTCCAAGCTGCTGTCCCCCCCACGTCATCTTTTAGTATCCGTGCCTCCCATGTCGCCTGCCTTCCTGCCGGGACCAGAACCACCAGATTGCAATTAGAGACGGGAAGGCTCTGCTAACGGCTTCTAAAAATACGCTCACCTCTCTCCAATTAGCAGAGACAAAAGAAAGCTGGTTGAGCTGGGTTACACTGAACTGGAAATTGGGATTTTGAGAGCCTTTTTTTTTTAGAAAATTCCCCTTTTTCTATTGCAAAAGGCACATTTTCTCGAAGTTTCCATACATGCTGAAACAGATGATGAGAAAAGAATATAGAGGTTTAAAGACAAAATCCTTCCGATCCTTCCAGCCAAAAGCTGGCAGAGCCAGAGAGGGAGCGGGTTCCTTTACGTGCCCTTGCCCAGCACCTCCGAACCAGAGCTACGTCGGGGGCCCTCGGACTCACGTCACGGGCAGTTATTACACCAGGTGGATCGGGGGCTCGATGTGGTCGCTCATGTTAGCAGCAAGAAGCGCTCGGCTCCTGACAGAGCCGGCCTGGAGCATCTAATGGGGGGCCCGAGGCGGCCGAGGCCTCGCGTGGGTGAGATTTGATGCAATTCTAGCTGTGTTCTTAATACTGGTGTTTAGGAGGTCTGCGCCTACTAGGGAGCTGCTGTTTTACACGGAATGCACCTGCACGGGGAGTCATGCACGGAGACACGGCCGGCCGCGCAGCCGGGTGTCCCTTCCCGCTGGCTTCCGTCCTCATGGCATTTTCCTGCCGCGCTAAGGAAGGCAACGCAGAGTCGGCAGGGGGAGAGGGGCAGCCGGGGAGGAGCAACCCCTGGGAATGCGGGAAAGGGGCAGTGCTGATCCTGGGTGGAAAATGCAGCCTTGCTCTGTGCCCAGGGGAGACCCAGCGCATCCCAGCCCGGACGGGCGGGCGGTGCTGGACAAGGGGTCCTGCCCGTGCGCGGCCCTTCATCCCGATCGCGGCATCTGCGCTGAGCTCGCACCGTGGCACCGGCCCATCCCAGCGCTGCCCCTTTCTGAAGCCGTTCCACGCGGTCGGGACGGAGAGGAGCTGCCTGTGCAGGCGGCGCTGC